TCGCAAGTAGTCCGATAGTGTCAGACGTGTCCTGGTCGCTCCGCATTAGCGCCTCGACGCACTTGCCCCTGCGGCGCAATGAATCCGCCGTCGGCGCCTCGGCGCCGCCAGCCACTCCGCCTCGAGAAGGCAAAGAGATCGTAGCATACTGGAGAGCAGCGCGGGAATCAGCGTCATCCTATCCCGCTCGCGCGCCGCAAAGCTCTTTGAAGGCACCCGCGGCCGCGCGTGGCGGGGGTGGCATCGCTCGAAAGACCTCTGCGAGATGCGGATGGATCTCGCGCTGAGCTCGCGAGAGTCCCACAGAAGACTGGCCCGGCCTGGCGCCGTGCAAGTCGCCCATGCTCTCCACCTCAGGATTAACAGCAGGCTGCCAGCGGCATCTCACCTTCAGCCGCGGCCTGACTGAGCGCGGCAAAGAACCAGACTCAACTGAATGAGCCTGCGAGACTTCGAAGAAGGACACCGTCACCGGGAGGGGCTCTCTCGCGAAGGGCTGGCGCCATGAGGCGGTGGGCTGGGCGGGCAAGCCGGCCCGCGAGACAGTCGTGCCCCGGGCGCGGCGGTGGGGCCCGCCGTGGCCTTGTTGCCCTTGCCCTCAGCCTTCACCTCGGATTTCGGGCAGGCAGAAGCGCCCGTCAGCAAACGCAGCGGGTCGGCACCAAAAACGATGGCTGCAGCGGCCGCCTGGCTGGGAACGAGGGATGGAGACGCGCGAGCCAGCGGCCGCTCCTCGCGGAGCTTGCGCCTCTCCTTGGCCGCCGTGCTCTCCCTCTGGAGCTCAGCGGCGACATATTCTTCCATGGCTGGACACAACATGATCTGCCCTCTGGTCTCTCCCAAGTCGAGGTAAAGAAACTCGTCGTTGGCCAAATCGCCCACGTAGTCGTCGGGCCTCGAGAGCAAGCGACGGCACCTGCACTCGGCCAGCCGCGCCCTCCGAAAGAAAGCTCCACAGACACAAGCTCGGGCGCGTTCAACTGATAATGCGTGAGCATGTACTCTAGACTTTTCATTTCCGTCTCATGGTCGGACACACCAGGGTCACCATTCGTGAGCCGGCACGTGTGTTTCCACCACGTGTGCCTGGCTCTGGGGCGACCGTTGAAGGTGACGCACCACATCGCCGTGCGACGCCCCGTCAAAGGCCAACTATCCCACGCGCTCTCGGTACAGCAGCTGATGGCCTCCTTCACATCCTTGCTGCGCTTGCCCAACTTGTCACGCGAGATCTCGAAGATCATGGCCGGCTCTGCGCAATCCACAAGCACGGCCAAAATTCCGTTGCGGCTGGCAAGCGCAACCCTAGGACCGTTCAGGTACTTATCCTTAGCGTCGGTGCCGAGGTCAATGTCATCGAGCCCGCTGCCAGACACGCGCCGCCACCCGCGTGTAGCAGGGGGCAGATGGCCGAGCCCAGGTGCCAGAGACACGCCCTTCACCAGGTCCAGCACCACCTGTTTTGCAGGGCCGCGCTATGGCAGCACTAGGGGAAGCTCTGCGGGCACGATGCCGAGGTCGGCCGCGTCCTCAGCGCCAAGGAATGCGGGACCTGCCTGACGACCCCGAAGACGGCGACGAGGACCATCGCCCTGGGCTACTTCGCCTAGGCAGGCCCGCAGCGCCTCCGCGAAGGCTGCGGGCGTCGGCAACGGAGGGAACGCGTACACCCGGTTCAAGTGTGAGGCGCGGCCGACCTCTGAGCCTAAAACGAGGGTCCCGTCTGGCGTAGTTTCCACGGTGCCCATCAGAGGTGGGACGGTCAGCTCTTCGGGGTGCGCGTCAAAGTCTGGAGTCATGATCCAATAGATCACCTCGGTGCGTGCAAGGTTCGTCCACCATCACTCGACGGTAGACGTCGAGCGGAAAGCGGCACATCACGACGCGGGGATGCCACAGGCGAGGCTCGTCGGCGTATCTCACCTGAACATCGCGCCCACCCAGCAGGCACTGACCGCCGAGTGTTGCTGCCCTTGCCACAGGCCTGGTAGATCAGCGTGAGACCCAAGCCGAACACAACACCAAAGATGAGGCACACACCGCAGGCTTGACACGGCCCTCCTAGATCCTAGAACCGAACTTTGGATCGTACGCGTCAACGCCTGATCTGCCAGTGGTCAGAAAACTGGTGAGGCGAGTGACGCCACCCCCGCCACACTGGAGAGGATCCCCATCGATTTGCGGCGCCGCCAAGATTGCACTTGAGCCACGGAGGCGGCGGCCGAATGGGAAGAGGAAAGGGGTTCAGAGAATAAGTGCAAACCCAAATCCCCACGAACCCTGCGCAGCACGTGCGGCACAAGGGGCGGCGGATCGTCTCCCCCATAGGGGATGCGAAGTCCCTGGAAACGGGCCGGGGTGGGCATGGGTTGGCATCATAAACTGGCCCACTACCAAAAATAAACATCATAACATCTGCGCCACTACACAGGAACGATCCACTGACAGATCCAACTAGAACCACGCGCGCGCTTCGCGCGCGCTTAGGTTCTGTCGAGTCACAGACCCAGGAATCGTTGCGAGAAGAAATTGGTGACGCGAAGCGTCTTGGGGGCGTCCTTGGACGTCTGGGGTCTCCTGGGGCCTCTTGAGGGGCCTCCTTGGGGCCTTCTTGGGCTCCATCTGGAAGCCAAGATGGATGCAACAAGAGGGTGCTTGGGCTCTCCGTGAGCTATCCTCTGGTTTTCATTCCCCTGGAGAGGAGAAGGAGGAGGAGGAGGAGGAGGAGGAGGAGGATGAGAAGGAGGAGGAGGAGGAAGATGCAGAGGAGGGAGGAGGAGGAAGGAGAGGAGATGTTGGGGCGCTCTTGGGGCCCTCTTGGGCTCTCTTGGGGCTCGTCGGGGCCCTCGTGGGGCCACCTTGGGCTCCTCTCGGAGCTCCAAGAGGAGCCCACAGAGGGGCCCAACATCGGTCACGCGAGAGCTCTTTCGCGTGACCGATGTTGGGGCCCTCTTGGGGCCCTATTGGGCCTCCTTGGGCCCTCTTGGGGTCTCGACGGGGCCCTCGTGGGGCCATCTTGGGCTCCTCTCGGAGCACCAAGAGGAGCCCAAAGAGGGGGCCCAACATCGGTCACGCGAGAGCTCTTCCGCGTGACCGATGTTGGGGCCATCTTGGGGTTCCTTGGGCCTCCTTGGGCCCACGTGGGGCTCCCTCGGGGCCCTCGTGGGGCCATCTTGGGCCCCTCTTGGAGCTCCAAGAGGAGCCCAAAGAGGGGCTCAACATCGGTCACGCGAGGGCTCTTCCGCGTGACCTATGCTGGGGCTCTCTTGGGTCCCTCTTGGGCCTGCTTGGGTCCTCTTGGGGTCTCGTCGGGGCCCTCGTGGGGCCATCTTTGGCTCCTCTCGGAGCTCCAAGAGGAGCCCACAGAGGGGCCCAACATCGGTCACGCGAGAGCTCTTCCGCGTGACCGATGTTGGGGCTCTCTTGGGGCTCTCTTGGGTCCCTCTTGGGCCTCCTTGGGCCCACGTGGGGTTCCCTCTGGGCCCCCTCTTGGGCCCGTCTTGGGGCCCTCTTGGGCCATCTTGGGCGCCTCTTGGGCCGTCTTGGGGCCCTCTTGGGCTGTCCTGGGGCCCTCTTGGAAGCTTCTTGGGCCGTCTTGGGGCGGTCTTGGGCGCCTCTTGGGCCGTCCTGTAACGTCGGAAAGCCCAAAAGACAACTTTGTTGAAAATGTACGTTTTACGAAGGGAATGGGCCAATTTTTGCGTCTAGGGGCCCTCTTGGGACGCATGTTGGAGGCTTCTTGGGGCCTCTTGGGGGCGTCCTTGGACGTCTGGGGTCTCCTGGGGCCTCTTGAGGGGCCTCCTGGGGGCCTCCTGGCGGCCTCTTGGGGCGGAAGGCTCGAGCTTGCGGTTCGTGGTCCCCCTCTGGGCCCCCTCTTGGGCCCGTCTTGGGGCCCTCTTGGGCCATCTTGGGCGCCTCTTGGGCCGTCTTGGGGCCCTCTTGGGCTGTCCTGGGGCCCTCTGGGAAACTTCTTGGGCCGTCTTGGGGCGGTCTTGGGCGCCTCTTGGGCCGTCCTGTAACGTCGGAAAGCCCAAAAGGCGACTTTGTTAAAAATGTACGTTTTACGAAGGGAATGGGCCAATTCTTGCGTCTAGGGGCCCTCTTGGGACGCATGTTGGAGGCTTCTTGGAGCCTCTTGGGGGCGTCCTTGGACGTCTGGGGTCTCCTGGGGCCTCTTGAGGGGCCTCCTGGGGGCCTCCTGGCGGCCTCTTGGGGCGGAAGGCTCGAGCTTGCGGTTCGTGGTCCCCCTCTGGGCCCCCTCTTGGGCCCGTCTTGGGGCCCTCTTGGGCCATCTTGGGCGCCTCTTGGGCCGTCTTGGGGCCCTCTTGGGCTGTCCTGGGGCACTCTTGGGAGCTTCTTGGGCCGTCTTGGGGCGGTCTTGGGCGCCTCTTGGGCCGTCCTGTAACGTCGGAAAGCCCAAAAGGCAACTTTGTGAAAAATGTACGTTTTACGAAGGGAATGGGCCAATTTTTGCGTCTAGGGGCCCTCTTGGGACGCATGTTGGAGGCTTCTTGGGGCCTCTTGGGGGGCGTCCTTGGACGTCTGGAGGCCATCTTCAGCATCTCGGAGCCCTCTTGGAGGCCTCTTGGAAGTTTCTTGGGCCGTCTTGGGCGTTTCTGGGGCCGTCGTGTCTGACCGGGGAGGCCTCCGGCAAGCCCCGACGAGCCTCCGGGGCCCCCGGGGTGCACATTTGTGGTCGAGGTCCCGGCCCCGGGCCCCGGGCCCCCGGACCCGGTGCGCCGTTATATGTAGATTCATCCTGTATACATTGGCATCACACTCAAGCGACGTAGCATGCTCTCCCCCTCCTCCTCCTCCTCCTCCTCCTCCTCCTCCTCCTCCTCCTCCTTTCCCTCCTCTCCCCCCCCTACCCCGCCACACAGACTGCCGATGAAATTGGGGAGCCACCTGGGCCACCCGAGACTGTGGAAGAACTCGTGCACAAGGCGGTGCCCGATTGAGGGGAGCGCAGCAGCAAGACCAACAGATACCGCGTGCGCCTGGTCCGCTGCCATGGCAGCCTTAGGCTTCTCGAACATGCCCTCGTGTACATCGGGCAGGTTGGCGACCACGCGTCGGCCAGGCAGAACCCCTCGTTGCGAAGACGTGGTGCGGTCGGCGAGGCTGGGCTCTACCACGATACGCACCACGCTGGTCAGCAGCCTGTTGTCCGCGCTGGTGATGTTCGGCGGCCGCAACCAAATTGGCACATGTGCCTCTTGGCCGCCTTTCTTAGCCCCGCGGTGGCGGTCAGAAGAAGAATCAGCAAACTGCTGTTGACATCGGGTAGCTCTTCTTGTAGCCGTGTCTGAACGTCCGACTCACAGCATTCTTGGGGCGCCCCGGACAACACCTCATCCGCCAAGTCCCGAAGCTTCCGCCACACCTCGTGCGGGATGCAATCGGGTTCAGGACGAAGAAGGATGAGGTGGGGCGGGGGGGAGGGACGATGAGCGAGAGGAGGAGGAGGATGACCAGTCTAATCCCAAGAGCCATCAACAATGTTGGAATAAACCCTCCCTCCAAGCTCCCTTTTCATAAGTCTCATACAACGGTTCATTTCCATCGAGGGAACTGCATCATTGGAAGACAACCGTTTGAAGACCCTGACGCATGCCAAACCATTGTTCCCGGGGTCCCAACGCCACGGATCAACATGACTGTTGCACCTTGACGATCCTGAGTCGCACCAGGACACCATTCCTGGGACTTCCACACGGAGAACCAACGTAACTGTTGCACCCGCATAATCCTGAACCTTTCCGAAACACCACCTCTGGTACGTACATAATGATGGGACCCGTGAAACTCTTGACAATGTTGTAAACGAATGTGCGCAGAGCCAAGGCGAAAACCACATGTTGAAAAGGAACCGCCCTCAATGCGTGAAACGCCTTCACATGTTGTTAGACGAGTGCGCGCCGCGCTAAGGCGACATCCACAATTTGAAAACGGCCCACCCCAATCCGTGAAACTCTTACTAATGTTTAAAACGAATGTGCACCGCGATGGGGCGAGGGCCACGTTTTGAGAACCACCCGCATTCAACCCGTGGAACTCGAGAAGGGGGAGGATTGAACGGATCGGAGGGGAGGGATGGGCGGAGAAGAAGGGACGAGGAACGCTAAGAGGAGGATGGCGAGGACGACGAGGGAGAAGGAGAAGGGGTGAGAGGTGGAAGAGGAGGAGGGAGGGAGGCGGCACAGATGAGAGAGGAGGACGACGAGGAGGGACGTTGACAAGGCGGGGAGAGCACCGAGGTGAAGAGGAGAGGGGCGGGCGATGGGAATCGGGAGAGAGGAGTATGAGGACGGAGCAAGGAGGTGGGGGGGGAAACTCGCGCGCACCTCCAAACATTGTTCTTCTTCGAATCAGGGGGACGTAAGACCTGGGTACAGGGGACTCGGAAATCCCCGACGAGGTCGTCAAACAAATGACGAGGCCGAGCCTGCATTTTGACGAGGCCTCCCGCTGCAGACATCCCACGAAACTCCTCCTCGTCAAAATCCGAGGCGCGGTCGTCAAAAAACGATGGCGAACCCGAGTCCTGGCAAACCCGGATCTTACGCTCCCCCGATCGAAGTGAGGCGCAGACATTCGACGATGCGACTTGTTTTACGCGTGGCGTCCCGACCACTTCCTCGGAGATCGCTTTCGTCCAGGATCCACGCCTGATAGTCCTGGGACCCGGTAGCGGGCACCAAAGGCCGAACTCAAGAAAAGCGCCTGAATTAAAAAACATATCGGAGATCAGGACCACGAGGAGGAGGATCCAGGATGAGTCTGCCCCCCCTCCTCCGCTTCTCTCCCACCTCGCCCCCACCCCTTGTTCATGTCTCCGCGCTCCCGACCCTTCCCTCCCTCCACACCACTGCCCCCACCACCGCCTCCCTCCCTCTTCCGTCCCCGCGCCTCCCGCTCCAGCGCGCACAGGTCGACGTCGACCCACTGGCCGAGTTCCTGCGAAGCTGGCTGGCGGGTGGGTGTTCACTGAACCCAAAAGTGCGACTCCGTGAAATCAAAATGTGGAAACCCGAAGGCACCGACACCTCTACTCCCCGAGCCTCTCCCGGGCTGCGTTCGGACCAGATGTTCGAAGCGAATCCAGTTGAGGTGACGAGGGCCTCCAAGGTGGCTCAAAAAGAGGAAAACGAGAGAAACGGCATCATTACGAGTACGGCCGGGCCTAGGTCATAATAACATTGCTCAAGGACATTAGACCCTCCACTGGCCAAACTGACGAACATTCGAGGGTGCCCTCCCCCAGGATACACAAGAACATCCAACACGCCCGAAAAACATACCTCGTGGGGCCATAGTGGGCTGTCTTTGGCCCCTCTTGGGGTCCTCTTGGGCCGTCTTGGGCCCCTCTTGGGCCGTCCTGGGGCAGTCAGGAACCATCTTGGAGCCCTGTTGGGGACGTCTCGGGCCGTCTTGGGACGGTGTCGGAAGCCTCTGGGGCCGTCGTGGGCGCGTCGAAAACGGAAAAAGAGAATGTGCAGAAAGTAGCAATTGTACGAGGGGAAGATGTTTGTGTGATGGGGCCAACTTTGGGAGGCATGTTGGGCCGTGTGAAGGCCGTCTTGGGCAGGCCCGGGACCTCGAGTGGCCGCGGGCAGGCTCGTCTGAAGTGTGCTGGGGCCGTTTGGAGGCTCTCTGGGGGCCCGGGGCCACTAAGAAGTGTTTTGGAGCCGTTTGGGGCCGTTTGGGGGCTCTCGGGAGGGCCAGGGGGGCCGGGGCCACTAAGGGGTCTTTCGAATTTATTTGAATAGATAGTATATTCAAGATCCCCCCAAGCAGTTTCCCTACTATCCACGTTTTCGCGCGGCTCCCCGAAAGACCCGTCCGTCTCAAGTTCCATGAATCTTGAGGGGACAGCCTCCGTCTTCAAGAAGACACCATGTGCTCAACATCTTCCATCTCCAAGACAACACCTTGCACACAACAAGCCCCCCCTGCAAGAGAGAATCCGTAAAGAGTCGATTCACATCCCGATCCGAAAGCCCGCCGCCCGCCCGCACGCCCGCCATGCCGCCCGCCTTCCGTGTAGCCCGCACCACCCTGTATTCAACAGCCACTGTCTCCAAAAGACACCCTGTAGTCAACAGCCTCCGTCTCTCCAAGTCAACACCCAATACTCAACAGGCTCCCGCTGCAAGAGAGAATCCTTGAAGAGTCTATGACAATCCCGACCCGCCCGCCCGCCCGCCGACCGCCCGCCCGCCATCCCGCCTTCCATGTAGCACGCACCACCCTGTACTCAACAGCTTCCGTCTCCAAGACAACACCTTGTAGTCAACAGCCTCCGTCTCCAAGATTACACTAATTACACAACACATTCCCGCTGCAAGAGAGAACCCTTAAGAAACCTATTATAATCCCGACCCGCCCGCCCGCCCGCCGCCCGCCTTCCGTTTAGCATAAACCACCCTGTACTCAACAGCCCCCGCCTCCAAGACAACACCCTCTAGTCAACAGCCTCCGTCTCCAAGGCAACATCCAGTACTCAACAACCTTCCACTTGCAAAGGAGAATCCTTAAAGAGTCTAAGACAATCCCGACCTGCCCGCCCGCCCGCCGTCCGTGTAGCAGGCACCACCCTGTACTCAACAGCCTCCGTACTCCAAGACAACACCTTGCACTCAACAACCCCCGCCTCCGAGACAACACACAACACTCAACAGCCTCCCGCTGCAAGAGAGTATATCTAAGGAATCGCCTGAAATCCCGATCCGCTCGCCGCCCGCCCGCCCGCCCGCCGCCCGCCCGCCCGCCTCTCAATTCATCACATCATCATCTTCCTCTCCGTCTACCTCACCCACCCGATCCGTGCGCACGAAGACAATACTCTCGCCTTGGGACAACAATTCGGAGGACCTTGAATGACTATACCGATCTATTTGAATACATATATATATATATATATGTGTATATATAGCTATAGCCGATACCGCGCCCCTTGGCACGTTGAGTCGTGGTAGAATACCAAGTGCTGCGTGGCCGATCTTTTGTTCTTGAGTGAAAAACGCACCAACTCACTACTCGAAGACCCGACCGTGACCCCCCCGCCATTTCCCGAACCCACAACCTCTCATACTAAATTGGGTCCGCGCTTCCGGGGCTACAGCCTCCCAGTAAAAAAACAATGGATCCGCCTCAAGACCTTCCAAGACGGCCCATGCAGGAAACACAGGACACGAAGATGGCCCAATATACTTCGCATACGGCCCAGGATGGCACGAAAGCGACCGAATCTGGCCCCACTACGGCCCAAGATGCCTCCAAGAGGACCCGCACAAACCACAAAACACCTTCCAACGAAATGAAGGGAACACCAGCAGCATGGATGTCCCGTGATTGCTGACTTACTGTCGCATTCTCACCGACTCGGGCTTCCGATAACTCAAGACGGCAAGAGGCGGCCCCTCAAGCCTCCACGATGGCCCCAAGGCGGCCCCAAAGAGGTCCCCAAGATGGCGCAGAACGACCCCACGATGGCACCAGAGGCACCTAAAACGGCCCCAATGGCTTCCTTTGGAACCCAAGGCGGCCCCACAGCGGCCTCCAGACACCCACCGTGCGGCCAAGAGGGCCCGACGACAGCCAAGAGATCCCACAGTCGACGTAAGAGGGCTCCGAGACAGCCCCAACATGGAGGAACTCCCAAGAATGCCTCACAGGAGGCCATGGCAGCCCCAAGACGGCTCAAAGGAGTTCCATGATAACTATGTTGAGTAGTGAAGCCGAAAGTGTCACATGTGACGGCCCTCGTTCTCTTCCTCACTCTCCTCTCCCACTCCTCCTCCACTTCGCCTCCCTTTCCTTCTCCTCCTCCATATTCATCGTTGTCATCATCGTCATAAATACCAATACCACCACCATCGTCATTACTATTACCATTCCGAACATCATACATACCACCAGCAATATCAACAACATAATCGCCATCAACACCACCACGAGCACTTTCATCATCACACTCATCATCGTCATCATCACCACCAACCTTGTCGTATAATCACCACCGTCATCATCAGAGACACCCCAACTTCATCATCACAATCATCACCACTACCACCATCATCACCCGCACCGTCGCCATCGTCATCATCATGACCATCATCAGCAACATCATCATCGGCATCCCCACTTACCCCCATCATGGTCATAATCCGCGTCATCCTCATCGTCCTCATCCCGGTTTTCCCACGCCTGGACACGCGAGGTGCCACACATGACGGTCTCATGTGCCCCTCGAGCAGCCACAATGTTGGGCTTGCGCGCGGTGACGGGACTTGCCGCATGCAGCTGGAGATAAATCAGAATGGCGGAGAGGGGAGGAGAGAGGAGACCAACCCCTCCCGCCCTAACCCCTTCCCATGACCCATAAGATCGCACTCTGTAACAATCTGAACGTGCCGACACGATCCGATATCACCGGTTCATTGAGACCTCCTGCGGTGACGAGCGCGAGGAAGATGAGGATATAGATACTGCTGCCGTGGGCAGCTGGATGCCTAATAAAGGCAGAGAGGAGGGCTCCAGGCGGAAGCGGACTTACGGGCCCGAGGCTCCTGGTCCCACACCTTCTCCTCGCAGCGGGCCCAGTGCGCCTGGCAGGGGATCATTCCTCCTCCCTCCTACTGCTGACCCTCGGTCCTCCAATCCTTTGTGATCAGGCTCCTCTGTTGTTTCCTCGCAATCCTCGTGATCCCTCTGTTTGATGTTTTTGATGTCCTCGTCCGCCTTTTCCTCCTCCGCATCCTCCTCCTCCGCCTGCTCCTTTTCCGCATCGCTCCTTCGCCTCCTCCTCCTCCTCCTCCTCCTCCTCTTCCTCCTCATCCGCCTCCTCCGCCTCCTCCTCCTTCTCCTCCTCCCCCCCCGCAGCAACTGCAAATCCCCGAACAAGCCGCAACTGCTGCTCCTCCCCATCCTCCTCATCCGCCTCCTCCTCTTCCTCCTCCTCCTCCGCTTCCTCCTCCTCCGCTTCCTCCTCCTCCGCTTCCCATCCCTCCTCCTCCTCCTCCTCCTCCGTCTCCTCCTCCTTCTCCTCCTGGTCCTCCTCTTCCACCCATCCCTCCTCCTTCACCTCCTACGCCTCCCACACCTCCTCCTCCTCCTCCTCCTCCTCCTCCTCCTCCTCCTCCTCCTCCTCGCATCCCAAATCCTCTTCTTTCTACTGAATTTCTTCGCCCGCAATTCAGAACCACCACCTGCGACGGCCGCGCGCGAACGACCAGCAACCGGCCCAGAGCCTGGAGCCCCGCGCGTCTGGTCCACAGCCATCCTCCTCCCTCATCCTGATCCTCCTCCTCCTCCGTCAACTGGCCCTCCTCCTCCTCCCCCTTCTCCTGATCTTCCCTCCTCCTCCTCCTCATCCTCCTCCTCCTCCTCAACCTCGTCCTCCTCCACCCTCCACATTCCTCCCAGCCCACTCCTCTCTGAGCTCTGCAAGTACACATTATGAATACTACTATCCTCTCTCTGTCCAGAAGGTGTTCGGCCCTCTCCGCGTAGTGTATGCTCTCTTACACACACACAGACACACACACACACAAACGCAGACACACAGACACACACACACACAAACCCACACACACACACACCGGATTTCAAAATATGTGTTTCTCGAACTATTTACACTCCGAGTGTTTCCGGTGTTTTGAAACGGTGCTCCCGCTGTAACGCGGGCTTCGTGTTCGGCTCCGCGGCTTGCTCCCGTCGTTCAGATTGGCGCTCTCGCCCCGGCGCGGGTCACTTCACCAGATCCGGAGTCCTTTTTCCCCACTTCCTGAATGGGGTTCTTGTTTTCCTAGAACACCCTCTCCTTCTCCTTCTCCTCCTTCCCACCTACCATACCATACCACACCTACAATACCAAAGCTACCATACCAGACCTACCACTCCAGGGAAGCCACGCCAATTAGACAGTTTCGTGCCCCCCACCCCTCCAGGGAGGCCCCGCCTGAGCGAGGAGGGTATTCGAAAACCATCTACTTGATCAGGTTCCGTGCCCCTCCCACTCCTCCAGGGAGGCCCCGCCTGAGCGAGGAGGGCATTCGAAAACAATGTTATGTATCAGGTTTCGTGCTTCTCCCACTCCTCGAGGGAGGCCCCTCCCGAGCGAGGAGAGCATTCGAAAACCCTGCTATTTATGTGGTTTCGTGCCTCTCCCACTCCTCACTCCTCCAGGGAGGCCCCGCCTGAGCGAGGAGGGCATTCGAAAACAATGTTATGTATCAGGTTTCGTGCTTCTCCCACTCCTCGAGGGAGGCCCCTCCCGAGCGAGGAGAGCATTCGAAAACCCTGCTATTTATGTGGTTTCGTGCCTCTCCCACTCCTCACTCCTCCAGGGAGGCCCCGCCTGAGCGAGGAGGGCATTCGAAAACAATGTTATGTATCAGGTTTCGTGCTTCTCCCACTCCTCGAGGGAGGCCCCTCCCGAGCGAGGAGAGCATTCGAAAACCCTGCTATTTATGTGGTTTCGTGCCTCTCCCACTCCTCACTCCTCCAGGGAGGCCCCGCCTGAGCGAGGAGGGTACTCGAAAACCATCTTATTTATCAGGCTTCTTGCCCCCGCCACCCCGCCCAGGCAGCCATGTCACGCGCCCTTGTACATTACCCTGCATGGGCCGCCCGCGCTGCGCGCGTGGTCGCTCTCTTCCGATCGTTGCGCTTTCCATTATTTTGGCCGCATCGTGCACGCGAGATGTCCCCGATCGCCGATCGCCATCTTCATCGTTCCCGTCGCCCGGCCATCGCCGTCATCCCCTCCACCCCGCACCTCCCCCTCTTCCTCTTCCTCCTGACTCGCCCTCTCCTTGCTTCTGTGCGATGCCCCTATCATCGGCGCTGCTCATTGTAACCGCAAATGCACCGCACCCGCGGAGGCCGCGTAGCTTGAGAACAGAGACGACGGCCGCTAGGAGGACGGGGCAATTTCGCAGGAGTCTTGTGTGCCATTCGATGGCATCGCTCTCGTTGTCCCCCTCTATCCACCTTCCTACACCTTCTGCGCCCCCCCCTGTAAGTCCGCGCCCCAATAAAAAAACATGTGGGGAACTCCGTTAGCATGATTCATCAGTGTAGTCCCCCTCGTTTCCCCTCAGCCGCCTTTCCCTGGTGCTCCTGCTCCTCCCGCTCATTCCAATTCAGCTCCTGCTGCTGCTGCTCGTTCTCGTATTCCTCCTTCCTCCTCCTCCCTGGACAGCTTGGCTCGCCAGCCGCAGGCCCGCCGGTGGCGCCCCAGGCCCCGCGAGGAGCACGACCCAGCGCGTCTACGAACGTGCGCCCCAGACGCCGCCCGCGAACGTGCGCCAACGCGTCGGCCCTGCCGGGCCGCGGGCGCACGAACGCGCCCCGCCAGGGCCCGCCGGGCGTGCGGCGCGGCACGCCGTGGACAAAGAAGGACCAGACGGCCGACTCCGCCATGGAGCACAGTCAAGGCGCATCGTAAGGATGCGCGGTGAGGATGCAGGGGCCTTGGAAGGCCGTGTTGACGTTTTTCGCACGGGGCGCGACCGGAAACCGAAGGATACAAGGGTGCCGGAAACCGAGGATGCGAGGGTAAACTTGAAAAGTTGCTCATCCTTATGATGCGCCCTGACTGTATCATCAATGTCGTTCCTCTTCTCTTCCTCGTCGCCCTCTGGGCCTTCTTTGTCCACGGAGCGCCGCCAGGTTCTCATCGCAACCTCCCGCCTCCGAGGCGGAGGCGAAATACGAGACCCTGGCGGCGGAGCCAGCGGAACAGAAGACGGCATGAGCAGAAACTGTCAAAGGTCCGCGCGGACCCCCGAAGGTGCATGTTGATGCAGTCTGTTGTTCTTCGATGGAGGCGGAGGCGCCTGTTCGCAATTCGCGGTGCACGGAACCCCGCTGGCTGGGGTCTCCACGGACCTCTCTGGCCGGGGCCTTTACAAAGCCCACGCATGCTGGGAAGGTTGACAGAGGAGGACTGACCCAGGGGGGGAAACATTTACTCGGAATCGGCGACACATCGCCGACAGGTCGGCGACGGGCCCTCGATTGGGAAACCACAAGCACTCGGGCGGGCAGGGGGGATCCAGGGGGGACTGACTCAGGAAGGGAAACATTGACCTGGAATCGGTGACAAATCGCCGACAGATCGGCGACGGGCCCTCGTTGTCGAAACCGAGCGCTCTCGGTTGGGTAGGGGGGACTGACTCAGGAAAGGGAAACATTCACCCAGAATCGGCGACACATCGCCGACAGATTGGTGACGGGCCCTCGATATCGAAGCCGACCGCTCTCGAGGGGGGGACTGACTCACGGGGTAACGCCGACCTGAGATGACGGACGAACAACACACACACACACACATCCGTACCCACAGGGGGGACAGAGGGAGCTGTGGGTGCGTGTTGTCGGAAGACGACCCGCAACACTACTTACCCTTAGCCAGTCCCCCTCCATCCGACCCCCTGTGGGCACACACAAATCAAAAGAAATGGGCAGAACCATGAAGTAGGAAGGCATTGAAGTAGACTGGGTCTCCGCCAGCTCCCAGAAGACGAAGGGAAAAGGAAAACCACTCGATCCTGAAAGTAGAAAGGCGCCGACAGAATATTGGGATCTAGGGATCCAGAACGCCTGATTTCAACGGCCAATGGGTGTGGGTGTGAGTCGTTCGTCCGCCATGGAATCGGCGACACATCGCCGACAGATCGGCGAGGGGCCCTCGATGGCGGAGCCGCATGCCCTTGGCAGGGCGGGGGGGGAGGGCGCCCAGGCCACGGCTGGCGATGGGAGGTGCGAGATGCCGATGCCACCCCCCTTCCATGGGCCAGTCGCCACCCCTGTCGTTGCCCCGACTGGATGCCGATCGGAGGCGGCTGTGGGGTCTGAACTGGATGGGCCTCGAGAAAATCTGCCAAACCTGATGGCAAATCTTATCAGAATCGGCTCCCTGATCCCTCCCGGGGTCCATCTTGTGCACGCGTTCACCCCAGATCCGTTTCTGATTGTCCCAATGCCCGAAGACGGCCCACGGAAGCCGGAGAAGGCAAAACACCTTCTCGAGCCCGGTGCGCACCTCGAATTTCGACACTTGCTGCGCGCCAGAACCAGTCATGGGCCACCTCAGACCCCCAGCCGACTCCAAGATGCCGAGCCGCCGCCCAAAGCGAAGCCCAAGGACCCCAGGAGGGTCCTCGGCACTGCACGGCAAGAAATCGATAAGCAGACGGCACACAGCAGACGCGCGGTTTGGGGCGTGGCCTTGGGTGCCTGCATGACGCCCCTGCCCATCTGCGCCACCCCGCAGACCGTGCCGCCGACCTGCCCGCCCCGCGCCCACCGCGCCCTCGCCCGCATCGCTGCCATGGTACACAAGCTCTGACTCCGCCTCCTCCGCCTCCTATCCTCATCCCCTATTGGAATATAGTTTCCCCCCTCTCCCCAGCCGATTGGGGGCCAATCCAGGGGGTCTCATTCTAACCTGCAATAGAACAACACGAAGTCTACTTTTATGCTTTCAATATGGACGTCCTGTCGTCCACGTCGCAAAATGCGCGGCAAGAATGGGACGCGGCGCACTCCCCGCGCGAAAGGGCAATATGTCGCTCTCGCCTTGGCGCCGCGCACTTTTTTTCTGGAAGTGGCGCTCCCGCTTCGGCGCGGCGCACAGGCTCCGCTCGCCACACCCTGCGCGAACTGAGAAATGTCGCTCTCGCCTTGGCGCCGCGCTTACAGTATTTGCTCCCGCCAAGGCGCGGCGCACAGCTTCCGCTCGCCAATTCATGAGGCGCCTGGGTCTCCTTGCGGCCTCCTGGGGCCTCCTGGGGATTCCTGGGGCCTTCTGAAGCCTCTTGGGGCCTCCTGAAGCTTCCTGGCGTGTCCTGGTTGTCCTGGGGCATCCAGGGGCCTCCTGAAGCCTCTCGGGGCTTCCTGGAACATCCTGAAGCCTCTGGAGGCCTCCTGGGGCCTCCTGAAACCTTCTGCGGTCGCCTGAAGCTTCCTGGGGCTTCCTGGGGTTTCGTGGGCTCGCCGGGGCCTCCTGGAGGACCTCCTGGCGCCTCCTGGGCCTTCCTGGGGAGAGACTCGCCAGGGCCTTCCGAGGCCTCTTCGGGCCTCCTGGGGCCCCATGGGGTGTCCTGAAACATCCTGGGGCTTACTAGGTCGGACATCCTCGGCTCGTCTTGGAATGCCCGCGCAGCCTTTGAGGCGAGCTGGGGAGCTCCCATCGGTAACCGCCATCGCGGCCGCATCAGCTGTGCCAAACCAGCTGGCCGATGTGATTTCGACCCCCAGTTGTGCTAGCACTGTTTCTTATTTTGTGGGAGGGCGGGTGGGAATGGGCATGCCATGCTTGCCTCGCTCGAGCTGGCTAGCTTGACTCCTCCTCCTCCTCCTCCTCCCCCTCCTCCTCCTCCTCCTCCTCCTCCTCCTCCTCCTCCACCTTGTCCACCGTTTCCTCCTCCTCCTGCACCACCACCACCTCCTCCTCCTCCTCCTCCTCCTCCTCCCCCTCGTTTCAGCGCCGCGTGCATTCGTTTCAACATGTGAATTAGTTTCACAGAGAGAGGGCGGTTACTTTTCACAATGTAGCACTCGCCGCAGCATCGCGATCATTCGTTTCGCCAAATCGAAAGGGTGTAATTGATCTTCATGGTTGGTTAGTTCACTAAAGTACGGCGTTTCGGGACGATCCAGGATTGTCAGGGCGCAACCGTTGTGTTGATTCGAGGTGCCGCACCCCTAATAATGGCTTTCTGACATAATTCTGGATCGTCAAGGCGCACCAGTCAGGTTGACTCGTGGCGTTGAAGTCCTGGGAAGGTGTTCTGGCACGCTTCAGGATTTCCACACGGTTGTTCCCAACGGGGCACTTCCCTCAGTGAAAATTAACCCTTGTAGGGGCCAGTGAACAGGAAGCTTGGAGGGAATGTGTATACCAACATCCTTGATTAACCTTGGGTTTACACTGGGGTTGGGAGGCCCAACCATACGCTTCGCCTACTGAAGTAGGAGGTCGTCGCGGGAGTCACGGGCCACGTCAAACGAAAATGCTTCCGGTCTCGATGGCAAATAGTGTGCCTCGCGATGAGGCGCAGTCATAGATTGGCGGCTGGCTGCTTGAGCACAAACGGCCGCGGTTAAACGCTCGCTATCTCTCGCCTTTGCCCCAATTTCCTTTAGAGTTCGGTCGCTGCTGCTTCGCCCAAAACCTTCCAACGTTTGTCGGTAACGGAGGATCTGGGCCGCACGGCCGACGGCGCCACATCACATACTATCTTCCCAACGCCACTTGATATGAAGAAATCAGAAAGTGCCGACACCGCTACTCCCCAGACCTGTACCGGGGCGCGTTCTGACCAGGATTTCGAGGCGAATCCAGCCGTGGCGACGAGGGTCTCCCGGGAGGCCCTGAAAGGCGAAAACAAGGCAATGGTAGGGTATCGGTACCTCTTCCCCCTCTGATGTTGAGCCCTCCCTCCCGGCCGGCCAGCCCCCGCTTTTTCGCTGCCCCCGGAGGAGTAACGAGAGGGGGAGACTGGCTCAGGGAAGGAAACATCGACTTAGAATCGGCGATGCATCGCCAATGTATCGGCGATTGGTACGTACCCGCCGATAGAGCATCCGTGCGCTCCTGGGCAGGATGGGGCTATCAAACATAAAACCCTTATCGGTGATTAGTGGGCGATTGGGGGTCGATTGGACGCCCCTCCATGGCGCGCGGAGCGCGCCAAAGACGGCGCCGGAAGCGCCGCCAGGAGGGCCCGGCGCCGATGCAAGACACCCGCGCGGAACTCCGACAATTGTCGTTCGTGCAATTTTGTTCTTCACTTCTCCTCCACTTTCGTTCTGTCCTCGGCTGCACGCAAGAGCGGCCCCATGCACAAGTGACCTTTGGTGCGCGGCTTTACGGGGCCGCGGGGGATGCCAAACCAACGCAATCCAAGCGCGCCAGCCAGTCCTGGGGGGATCCCTGAGGGTCCGCACCGAAAGTCACTCCAGCGAAGGGCCACTCTTACGTGCAGCCGATATCCCGCCCCATCCTTGCCCCTGGATTCCCACATATCTGCCGTTGCAGAAACAATCCCAACATCGCAAGAATCCCAACAGGGGCCCCAAGACCCCATTTTGCCCGCGCCACTTTTTGAGCTGGATCCATTTGATTTGTGATGGCCCTGGGGCCCGAAACTTGGCGAAGACGCACGTTGTTCAGGAATCTACTGACCCAGGTCAGTGCAAACCTGGGCCAGTCGGGCTTTGCAGAATCCTACAGGATCCTGCCTGTTCCTGCGCCCCAGCCTGGGTCAATGCAACCCTGGCTCTGCAGGGTCCTGCAAGATCCGGCGCTCTGGCTGACCCCCGTTGACATTGACCTCCGCCTCAAGGCTCCCGAATTGTGACAAAACTGCAACGCAGACTGGCGACGACGACACCGACACCGAGGAGCACGGGCACCGAAAACTGCAACGCCGACAGGCACGACACTGGCACGGGAGGATGAGGAAAACAACGCCGACGACGACGCCGACACTGAGCACGACGAAGACACCGTCGCCGACGACGACGAATTCTCCGGCGACCGCCATGGCGGCGCCGCCGACGACGCCCACGCCGAGGCCCTTGACAAAGCCGAGGGCGCCGCCCTCCCGCGCGGGCGGCAGCGGCCAAAGGAGGGATCGAGGATCGAGGCTCGAGGGTCGAGCACCTCGAGGATGGAGGTTCAAGGATCGAGCATCGGGGTTCGAGGATCGAACATCGATGTTTCAGGATCCATGATCGAAGGAGGATCTACAACCCTCGACAAATATCAAACTGCGTCGATTACAGCAAACGCGACCGTCTTGGAACGTTCGAAAATTATCCTGGCGAAGGACCCAACCATATGCAAACGTTAATTCCGCAAGGCAGGTGGGACGAAGCAAAAGGAATTCCCAATATGGCCACGAACCGTGTGAGGGGTGCGCCAGACTGGGGCGGGGCCGCCATGCGAACCCTGCCACTGAGGCCTTCGGTGGAGCTCCCTATGTCCCTACGGGGCCACGAACCGTGTGAGGGGTGCGCCAAAATGGGGCGGGGCCGCCATGCGAACCCTGCCACTGGGGCCTTCGGTGGAGCTCCCTATGGGGCCACGAACCGTGTGAGGGGTGCGCCAAATGAGGCGGGGCCGCCATGCGAACCCTGCCACTGGGGCCTTCGGTGGAGCTCCCTATGGGGCCACGAACCGTGTGAGGGGTGCGCCAAAATGAGGCGGGGCCGCCATGCGAACCCTGCCACTGGGGCCTTCGGTGGAGCTCCCTATGGGGCCACGAACCGTGTGAGGGGTGCGCCAAAATGGGGCGGGGCCGCCATGCGAACCCTGCCACTGGGGCCTTCGGTGGAGCTCCCTATGGGGCCACGAACCGTGTGAGGGGTGCGCCAAAATGGGCCCGCCATGCGAACCCTGCCACTGAGGCCTGGAGTGGAGCTGGGGCTATGGGGCCACGATGTGTGAGGGGTGCGCCAAAATGAGGGCCGCCATGCCACGAACCCTGAAACCCTGCCACTGGGGCCTTCGGTGGAGCTCCCTATGGGGCCACGAACCGTGTGAGGGGTGCGCCAAAATGGGCGGGGCCGCCATGCGAACCCTGCCACTGGGGCCTTCGGTGGAGCTCCCTATGGGGCCACGAACCGTGTGAGGGGTGCGCCAAAATGGGGCGGGGCCGCCATGCGAACCCTGCCACTGGGGCCTTCGGTGGAGCTCCCTATGGGGCCACGAACCGTGTGAGGGGTGCGCCAAAATGGGCGGGGCCGCCATGCGAACCCTGCCACTGGGGCCTTCGGTGGAGCTCCCTATGGGGCCACGAACCGTGTGAGGGGTGCGCCAAAATGGGGCGGGGCCGCCATGCGAACCCTGCCACTGGGGCCTTCGGTGGAGCTCCCTATGGGGCCACGAACTGTGTGAGGGGTGCGCCAAAATGGGGCGGGGCCGCCATGCGAACCTTGCCACTGGGGGGAGGAGGAGGAAGGAGGAAGGAACGCGGGGCACCGTCTCTTCAAAACGAGGACCCAACACCACAGGATGGTTGGGAAAAATATTCCAGCGAATTCCCGCGAAACAGCCAGGTAATCCAGGATGGAGCATTGAGATTCGAGGAGGCAGCACCTGTTTTCCTAGGAAGGGAAGAGGAAGGAGCGAAGGGAAAGCAGGAATGATGGGGAGGGACGGACGACGGACGGAGGGAGGCTGGGGGAGGGAGGACGGACGGGGGAGGGACAGAGGACGGACGGAGGACGCGAGGAGGGAGGGAAAAAAGTGTAGGGAGGGAAAAGGAGGGCGGGCGCAAGGAAGATGAGCGGGAAGAGCGCTGGTCTAGGCCTACCAGATGGGGTCCGAGTAGATGGGGTCGAAGGATCTCGCCGCATTGCCGATGCATCGAGGCTCGAGGATCCATGATCGAGGGAGGATCTACATTCCTCAACAAACTGAACCTCAAAAATGTTGACACGCCACTTCAGAGTCGCCCCTTTTCACCCATTCAATGTCGCCCCCTTCAATGTCGAAACCGAGCGGAACGCGGTCTGGGCGGGTCCGACCGGAGGTTCTACGATGACCGACGTTGGAGAGGCGACGCCAACAAGTACCTTGCGCGCAGTGTCACCCAAGCCCAGGACATCACATCGACAAGGGAATTGCACGACACGGGTTTGAGGTTAACTTGCCTGCGTCCCTCCATACATTCCTTCGCCCCATCTGCTCAGTTCTACTCCGCGTGCCGCGTGGGCTGAGGGTTCCTGCCGAGCCATTGCGGCCCTCGGCTTGGATGGCCGCCCGCAGCGCGGACACGGCCAGAACGAGCAGTGCCGGGGCTGCCGCGCGCGCCGACGCGACCCGCCCTGGACGGCGGAACCTAAATGATTTAATACGCAGCAGCGCCGCGTGGAGCGTCTGAATATGTTATTTTCCTCTAGCAACTACGGCCCTCAGGAGCGTCTGGTCTTGTTTTCTGATACTCAGGATAGGCCCGTAGATTCACAAGTAATTCTTCGGCTCTTAGGAAAAGTCCTTGGAAGAACCCAACGACTACTTGAACAACTACGGATCTATCTGGAAACGAAACATCAATACGGAACTCTCCTGGGGGGCGTAGTTGTCGTAAACTTACAATCGAGATGCGCGTGCGCAAAGGGCCAAAGGAAACGGCCGATTTGCCGCCGCCTCGCCTTCGCATTCTTTCCGCACGGCCAACCCTCGACAAAATCAACATCAAAAGTGGTTGACGCGCCACTACTTCAGCGTCGCCCCTTTTCACCCATTCCATGTCGCCCCCTTCATTGTCGAAACCGAGCGGAACGCGGTCTGGTCAGTTCCACAATGACCGACGTTGGAGAGGCGACGCCAACAAGTACCTTGCGCGCAATATCACCCAAGCCCAGGACATCACATCGGCAAGGGAATTGCACGACACGCGTTTGAGGTTAATTTTGTCGAGGGTAGTAGGATCGAGGGTCAAAGGCCCAACCTAGAATGCGGGGCTCCGTATCGAGCCGCATCGCCCATGCGTCGGCGATGCGGCGTGATCCTCGGACCCCAGGAAGACCTGGGGGCGAGGACCGAGAGATCCGAGGATCCAGAACAAAAATTGGAACGGCCGTTTTTCTTGCTATGTCGGCCGTCGGGGGCCCTCGCCTGGCCCCAGGACCGGAACAAGAACGACTCAGGACCGAAAAACGCACCTGGGAAAGTTGTCCAAACCTCTGGGCTCCACGCATCGAACACCTTGCAGCGTTGGATGTCTGGATTTCTAGACCCAATGATGATGATCGAAAGCGGATCTAGTTTCGAGGATCCTCGAGGATCCTCGAAGATCCTTGAGGGCCGAGGATCGTGGACCAAGGGCCGAAACTGGACGTCCAACGCCTGGAAGAGGAAGTCGGGACGGCTCGCCTGGTGCCATTTTTGGCTCCAGGAGCCCGATGCCCGGGCCTCGCGAGGCCGTCAACCAAAGCAGCTCGGGACCAGAAGCCAGCCCCAGGGGAATTGTCGAGAGCTTCGTGGTTCTTGGAAAGGACACAGCCGCAGCCGTTCTGTTCGTTCGCTTCCGTTTTGCATTCTTTCCTTCGGATCTGGCTCCGTGTGTTTTCCGGCTCGGACGCATTTTTTGTTACGGTCCTGAACCGTTCACTCTGAAGAGATCAAGATATCTCGGAAACGGCAACAGCAAAACGGTCCTGCCGTTTCCTAGACACACTAGAAAGTCGAGACGTCCGGGGGCCCCCCACGTCGAAAAACGGCGGAGCGTGGGATGTCTGGGCCATGTTGCTCGCCCTCGCTCTCGCCTTCGTCGCCGTCCTCATCCCCTGGGACCCCCAGCATCCGACGATGTGATTGTTTGGTTCACTGCAGTGCCCCAAGGTTCCCGACCCCTTCCTCCCCGGGGGTGGTTTTGCGTCCCGGATCCACCATTGATGGCCCCAGGGCCCGATGGCGTGCCCCGGAAGCCGAAATCGATGAGAGACGCCAAGAGCGAAAAAACAGCCGTCGGAGAAGATGTCTGGGAAGATCGAGGAGGTGGGGCCGAGGCTGAGGTTCGGATGATCGGGCGGATGGGAGGCCAGCACCGACGGGAGACGGCGACCGCACCCCCCTCCTCCTCCGCATCCCCGATCTCCCTGAAGCAACATGGGCAGCATAATGAAACGAAGGCGGATGGGGAAGAACAGTGTGAAGGAAGAAGAGGAGGATGGGTCGCACCGCATTGATCCTGGTGCGGTTCGCGCGCAAGGGTGTGAGCGGGGGGCGTGCCCCCTTCAAAACGCAAACGAAACGAAACGACAAGGAGAGGCGAGGAGGGGAGAAAGGGAGAAGGAGGATTGCAGTGTAGTGTTAATGCCCTTGAGGGTAGGCATATCCGTGTGAAGGTGCTCGTGTATGCAGAGCCTGTGCTTTGTTGTTGGCACCTGGTTTGTTGGATGGCATGTGTGGTCAGCACACCCCGAGACAGCCACCTCTGTTCGACTCATCGGTTTGACGGGGGGTGGTTCGCGATAGCCCCTATCGCCTCCTACCATACAAGTGATCAGTCATGAAGCGTGTCTCACCATGTGATCAAAGGATGGGCTGGCATCCCCCAAAATAATATCAAACGCTGGCTCGCTTACCTTCGGGCAGCTGACCGGGGGCCACGAGGCAGGACGGCTTGCTACCCTACTTGGGGCATGTGCGCCTGCTACACCGCAGGGTAAATCGCAATCCTGGCGGCGACTGGGGCCGCATTAGGGCAGCATGGGGACCAGCTCCTCTTCAGCAGCAGCCTGAGACGCCACCTCAAGAGCGACAAAGAGGAAATTGCGCCATCGCAGGTTGGATCGCCACCCCAAGGGTGACACGGGTAGGGAGCTCTCGGGCAGGCCAGGTCGCTCACTTAAGCGTGGACGGGGCCGAGTCCCTCCACTGCCGGCGATGTCTCCGCTGTGGGGTGACAAGGGGGACCTGTTCCACAGGATGCCTCGCTTCAGCTGCAACGCCCGAGAGTGGCCATCATCAAGGCCCGCCCAGGCCTGGAAAGGTGAACAAGACCGCCGGTATTGCCGCTGGGCTGCGTCCTGCAGGGCAGAAAATCCAGCGTCGTTGCTGGGTTGTGCTCTGACTTGCCTCGTAGACGAG